ATAAAGTTATCCGCAACAAAGCCTTGGGAGGCACCGAAAAGGGGAGGTGGAAGGACAAACGGGGGCACACCTCGACGGATGCTTTCCCGGGGGGACCCACCCCCCACCAGAACCCCCCAGGTTCAGCCTGGAGCGAGGGTCCCTGTTTTGGGGCGTACGCAGTCAGGCCCATTTTTAGTAGCTGCCTCCAGCAACTGGAGAAATATTTTCCTCGCTGGCATAGAAATGAGGAAATTAAAAGTGTGTGGCTGGGCTTTTTTTTGTTGGGTTTTTTTTTTTTTTTTTTTTTAAAAGCACAGTGCAGGGCTTGAAGGACGACTCAGAGATGGGAGAAAAACGCCTGCGCTGGGGAAAAAAAAATAGAGAAAACAGGGCAGCCAGCGTGCCGCTGCCACTGCTCATGCTGGAGGGGTTTTGGGGGGCTGCTGAGGTGATGCAGGGAGAGCTTTGGGGTGCTGGGTCACCCACTATTCCCGCTCCCATAGCTGCTCCCGTGGTGCAGGGGATTATTTCAGTAGCGCTCGCTAACTTGCATTCCCAACTCGATTTTTTTTTTTGGTTGTTGTTGAAATACATTATTTTTTTTTAAAATACAATTATAGAGATGAATAGTTCCCAGGTCTTAACATGCCTGCTGAGGCCAAAAGGAATTACCCGCTGAGCAGCGCCGGGCTGTTCGGGATCCTCTGTCAGGAAAAGGGGCGTTTTCACATTTCTCAGGTCCCCCCCTTGCTTTTTCCTCCTACATCGTATCCTCGCTCGCACAGGATAGCTATAGCCAAGGGAGTCAAAGGAAGGGCTACGGGATTGAATTTCTGGGGGTTTTGGAGGTTTTTTAGGCTATTTTTCTTAGCAAACGTGAGATTTGTGGTCCCCGCCCTGCCGCCATCTGACAGCGCTTCCTGCTGGTGGGGGCTTCATCCGACGTCTCCATCCTCTCCATCACCCAGGCTCTGCCTATGGGCAGGGGAAAGCCCCGTCAACTAGAGCAGGCGAGTCCTTGTCCCGTCCGGTCCCATGGGATGACCTTCAATGTGCTTTTCTTAGCAGCACCTCATTTTTTTTCAGCATCTGTGCACAGTAGATAGTTCTTGGTGGAAACAGATCCATCGTCTGGTGGGTGCACATAAGGGGTTTTAGGGTGTTTGGTCTTGCTGGCTGTGGCTGGCTGGAGCATCTCATCTCTCCTGTTGGCACCGAAGGTGGTCCTAGTGATGGTTTGGGTGAGGGATGGCTGCGCCGTGGGTGCTGCTGATGGGTCTCAAGCCACTTCTCAAGTTGGACCTGGTGATTTAGGACCCATAACTCCAACCAGAGCTAGGCACTGAAGGAGCACGGGAAGCCCGCAAACCTGGGTCTACTTAAATGGTCTTAATAGTGGCCTTAACGCATGGCTTTTGGGAACGGTGGATGTGCTATGGGCATTGGTGTGTGCATGGAGAGGGTGTCCCTTGAAGACAGGGACAGGCAAGAACCTGCCAGCATTGCAGCACTTTTGGGTTGCGTTACCCCCCCGCCGTGCTCAATTTCTCCTTTTCTTCCTTTTTCCTGTTCTGTAGATTCCCAAGTTCTTCAGGAGCCGGGGGATCGGTCACACTGGTGCGTGGTGGCATACTGGGAAGAGAAGACGCGCGTGGGTCGGCTGTACTCTGTCCAAGAGCCCTCCCTGGATATCTTCTATGATCTACCTCAGGGGAATGGTTTCTGCCTCGGACAGCTGAACTCGGACAACAAAAGCCAACTGGTGCAGAAGGTCCGCAGCAAGATCGGCTATGGCATCCAGCTCACCAAGGAAGTGGACGGCGTGTGGGTGTACAACCGCAGCAGTTACCCCATCTTCATCAAGTCGGCCACACTGGACAACCCCGACTCCAGGACGTTGCTGGTTCACAAAGTGTTTCCAGGTTTTTCCATCAAGGCTTTTGACTACGAGAAGGCGTACAGCTTGCAGAGACCCAACGACCATGAGTTCATGCAGCAACCATGGACCGGATTTACTGTTCAGATCAGCTTTGTGAAAGGCTGGGGCCAGTGCTACACGAGACAGTTTATCAGCAGTTGCCCGTGCTGGTTGGAGGTTATTTTTAATAACCGATGACTTGAGACAGAGTGGACTCATGACATTTATACTACTTTGCTGCTATTATTTCCTTCTGAGTGCTTGCTTTTCATGCAAACTTTTTGTTTTTGTTTTGTTTTGTTTGTGTCCCGTCCCTCCCCGTCCCCCCCCATTTTGAGAAATAGCTTATGGAAAGATTTTTTTTTTTTTTTTTTTTTTTTTTCCTTGGGTATTTTGATAAATACATCTATTTTTTTAAAAGTGTGAATGACCAATAACTCGGAAGGGCGAGAGAAGGGTGTGGGGGGGGTGGATCGCATACGATAATTGTTTCACGCCTCTGAAAGGATTATCCTATGTGATCGATGGATTCAGAAGCCACTTGCTATATGTTACAGCTCCTTCTCTTGGATAAAACAACAAGATACCTGTATTTTTTACGCATCACGTTCCCCTTGCCGCCAGTCATCCCTGGTGACGGTGACACCGAGACCCCTTCCTTCCCCAGCGGTGCTAACCCCCACGTTGCTGCCGAAGGATCGTGCGAAACCTTCCCAACCAGGTCTTTACCCGCCCTTTTAATTTTTATTTTTATCTTTCTTGTTGCTGGGTTCACGTCTTGTCACTGTGTTCATCCTTCCACTGCTTCTTTTTTTATGGTCATGGATTGATGCAAGGGGAGAAAACAACGGCGGAGAAACCTCGTGCGTGGCCCGTGCTTTATAATTTGAGCTGAGATGTGAAGCAACAGAAGCCTAAGCCTGAAACAAAACAAAACAAAACCAACAAAACAAATGAAAAACAAATGGGAAAACAAAAGAAAAAAGTGTTCACAATAGTTGGTCTGTTGTAACCTGCTTAGATCAGGTTATCCCGGTACCATCCCACCTGGAAATGCAGTTGTGCTTTCATTTCTTCTTGAATTCATACACGAGTATGATACTTTTACACTGTTCTTAGCTCAATGAGCATGTTTAGACCTTAACATAAGCTATTTTTCTAAATATAAAGGTTTAAATGAACAAGAGAGCATTCTCATTGGAACTTTAGCATTGTAGTGCTTTGGAAATAAAACACACACAAAAAAAAAGGACTCCTTAAAAAACCCCTGAGATTTATTAAAGAAGAAAAATGTATTTTATGTTATATATAAATATATTAT